CACCCTCTTGGATTGCAGTATGTATAAGCTTCTTATATTCTCGATCAAGTTTATAAAATGATATCCATAAATATGATCCTTTAAATTTTCAGTAACATTCGAGCAGAGCGAATTATAAAATTTTCGCAATCATATTTAATAAGACCTAATTTTTCCTCTCCAAGAGAATTGTTTGGTATGGGAAAATATGCTGAAGATAGTTGGCGATTGTTTTGTGGTGAAAAGGATGATGCCTGGATGAAAGGATCTGGCTTTGAGCCTGAAGATAAAGTATTAAGAATATATATAGAATGGCGTAGACAACAACATGAACTCGTTAATGGTGCATCTGTTGATGGGCATTCACCCATCTCAGCTAATGGTATTGATCGCGGTTAACGCTTCCGATATACCATTATAGTTTACAAGGCATAATTTTTTTTTTTTTTTTTTTTTGTGATAAAGAGATGAAATTAGTTTGTTTTATGCTATATAATTGTATATATTCCTATATAAATTCATTTTTGCATTGCTTGTATAATTCACATACTAGTTATCCGTGATTAGAAATTTGATTGGTTAACCTTATAATCACATGATTAATGTGTACCACAGCCAATTAATCTGACTGGTTAAAAATTCCCTCATAACGGAAAGCTTTATTGCAAAAAAAAAAAAAAAAAAAGAAACCACTCTATTGTTAGGTGATTTTCGATTTCTTAAAATTATTCCAATATCGAGATATGAAATTATCATATCGGGAGTAGTTTTAAAAATCGAAAATCACTAACAATCGAGTGATTTCTTTGTTATTTCACAAAATTTTGCAACTCGCAACAAAACGATTGGTTTTGGGAGGTTCAACAGTGCATTTAGGTTTAAGCGTTCAATAATGACTTGAATCACATTTTTAAATAAAGAATATCCATTAACGAAAGGTTTTCTTTACAATTGGGTAAAGAAATTTATACATATCAATTTCACCAATTTCACAATTAAACGTCAATTTCACAAATAGTGGTGAAATTATTCGTAATTTCACTAGTATGAGATACTTTCGATCATCACTGTAATTTAAAGTTAGACGAACAAATATTACACAAACTTCAGTTTTCATTTAAGTCAAAAAATTGCAGACTAATTTTTGCAACCACTAATAATTTATCAATCTACTTTATTTATTCTAATAAATCTTCTCAAAGATCATGTTATATAAAATTAGATTACTTATTCGTAGATTAATTTATGAACATTGTGACGTTCCCATGAAACAACACCATTAGGGAACCAAAGTTCTATTTCTCTTTGAGCGCTTTCAACTGAATCAGATCTATAAAATACAGGTGTTAGCGACTAAAGAATTGATAAAAGAAAACAATAAAAAAAATT